TCAGCTGTTTATTATTGTGCCAAAGAGCCACAGTATCACAAGAGAACGAAACTCTGGTCAAAAACTCAGAATTTGCTTTCCAGCACATTTAAGCAACAAAAACAACATAAAATAATAAAATAGCTTCATAAAGAACTTTGAACATTAAATATTTTGTTTTTCTATTTTTATGTGTAAATATTAAAATTAATCTTGCATGACTTTGTAAAACGTTTTTAATGAATAATTAAAAATAATGCAAAAACTATGAGTTAGTCTTTTAGAACTTTTCTTTTTCTACTTTATACACCCGTCGGTACGCAGAAATAAATTTCCTCCCAGACTGACATAAAGACTTTATATTATACATACAAGCCCCAACAAGCCCTCAGTCTTTCCTGTAGAGGAACCGGTTTTAATTTCAGCCAAGCAGAAATGGACTGGATCAGACAACCTGCAGGAAAAACACTAAAGTGGATGGTTATTTGATTTGAAACATTTATGCCAGCAGCATGCAAGGAAATCTCCAGAAACAACAGGAACAGCATGGTGTATCTAAGACTGTCCAACTTAAAGCCAGAGAACTCTGCTGTGTATTACTGTGACGCAGTAACAAAAACCACGAAGAAACTTGTACAAAAACCTTTCAAGCATTCTTGCATTTAAAAACTCACTGAGTCGCAAAAAAGCTTAAAGACTGTTTACTTTTTGTCTCCTGTGAGGATGACTTATTAAAAAACTATTTAACTGTGTGATTTGATGATCTTGACAGGTGTTGATGGTCAGACTCTGACAGGATCTGAACCAATCAGTAAAAGGCTTGGAGAATCCCACAGACTGACCTGTACAGGCTCTGGATTCACATTCAGAGACTACCCTATGAACTGGGTCAGACTGGCTCATGGAAAAGGACTGGATCGCCTTTATAAACACAGGCAGTTCTTATATCTATTACTACCAGTCAGTCCAGGGTAGATTTACCATCTCCAGAGATGATTACAGCAGTAAAGTCTATCTACAGATGAACAATCTAAAGACTGAGGACACAGCAGTTTATTACTGTACCCAAAGATGTTACTGTGAGAAACAGTAACATGAGAGTCATAGACAAACTACCTTATCTGTTTGCCATGTGATGGAAAGATTAATACTACAAAAAGGGATGTTGACAAAACTCAGTGTACCCAGTGCATATAATGAATATTTTTGAAAAGAAAACAAAATAGGTAAATAAAGTTTGAAGCTTTAAAATAAACTGTTGTTGTTAGGATCAGTAAAACAGTACAAGGAACAACTATCAATAGAATAAGTTGTATAACATTCATTAAAAAAACACTAAATATAATTGTGTTCTTGTCTACTCTCTCATCCTGTTGTACGGACTGACAGAAACCCATCCATCCATTCGCTTCCGCTTATCCTTTTC